TCAATTATTCTGGCTAAAGGCCCTTTTAAAGAGCGAGTATTGTCATTCTTTACCAATACTTTCAAATTTGGTAGGGATTTAAGCCATTTTGGTATATTCTGAAGTTGATTAAGATACTCCTTTGTCTAACGTTTCCAAAAATTTTGTTGGACACGAGTGCATCTTTGATAACGTGACAGACGGGTTTCAGGAATGCCGGAGATATCTTTTTCTGGAAAGGAAGTAAGACTGTCACCTATTAGAAAATGTCCAGGAGTTAGACAAGTCATTTGCATCACTCGATAATGATTGAAGAGGACGAGAATTTAATATGGCTTCAATTTGGACCAGAATAGTGTTAAGTTCTTCAAATGTAAATTTAGAATCTCCTGCTATTCGGTGCAAGTGGTATTTTGTACTTTTAAATGCCGCTTCCCAAATTCCACCCCAGTGGGCACTTAAAGGGAGGATAAATTTCCATGTTATTTGCTTAGACGTTGGGAAATTTTTCTATGGAATTGATATTTTGCTTGTCTTGGAAAAAATCATATAACTCTTTCAATTGGTTTCTGGATCCTAGGAAATTTGTAGCGTTGTCGCTAAATATGATCGAAATTTTTAGAGGGTAACAGAATTGGATGTTTTTGATCATAGGATAATTGTGCATAAGCTAAACGACCTCCTACTCGTAGAAGACCAGAATCGTCTACAAATAGACATAAATGTAATATGGGTTTATTAGAAATTGTTTTATTCGAATTTAAGTCAGAAATTTCTCGGTAGAAATTTTCTTGTTGAAGAGATTTAATAATCAGAAATTCTGCTGCATGCAGTTCTTCCACTGTTAGTGTACCAGAACATTTCTGTGAACACTTCTTACTATTATTTACAAATCTTAAGATATAAGCTAGAACTCGTTTCAATTTTATAAATGAGGAATATCTTAAAAGGAGTGGTTTCCCAAATGAAACAACTGAATCGAGCTTAGTATTATAAAGGACAATGCTACATTTTCTTGCCTCCGGAATCGTTTCTAAATTTATATTGTTGGAATCAAGATTTGCTATTCCCAAATCTGGATTTAAAAGAATTGACGGCCCATGCCACCAAAGAGAAGAGTTTATTATTTCTGTAGGAGTCATTCCACTAGAAAGGAAATCGGCTGGATTATTTTGTGTTTTTATGTGACGCCACTGGAATTTCGAAGTTAATTGTTGGATTTCTAAGACCCTATTGAACACGAAAATGGTCCACTTTGAAGGATGAACTTGTAACCAGCACAAAACTATTTGGAAGTCTGTCTAAAGGCAGACTGAAGAAATAGAAATTTTATTTTCAAATCTCTAAAATCTTTTTACGTGACACTTTTCTGGAACTGCAATTTTTTCACTATTCTGGAACATTAATTTACTCGGAAATCAGAAACTTGGATTTTACGAAATTAACTGGAACTTATATCATCGGAATTTTTACATTTTCTACTTAAAATGTAAAGAGTTTGAACTTAGAAAATATTATTTTCGTTATTTGGCTCGCAGGATCAAAATGAAGGGGTATGGATTCTTGAAATCTGAAACTACGAATCCACGACCACATCACTCTGAATCTTTCATAGTCGTTATTTATTGACTGGTTCGTTTTGTGAGAAACAATATTTATTGGAATGAAACACCGGATTAAACTTTCAAAACTCTGTTACCTCGAAGGACCATTTTAACTTTACGGCGTTAAAAAACCTTTACAATTACTTTACATTAAACCCTTATCATACTGTTTACATAAATTAAAACTAAAAGCGACTCCTCACAACTGAAGTCTGAAACCCACTACCTTACCCTTCGAGACGTTTTTTAGATACCTCCTCGATGGGCAGAGAAAGCGATCACACTTTCAAAGCACATGTCACTTTTCAGAGAAATGTCATTTTGTAACATTTTTCAAGGATTTGTAGTACTAGGAATTACTCTCTAATTGTAGTCCAGTGAGAATTTGAAATACAAAGCCGAAGGATCCTTTATGTTGCGACATTAATTTACAACCGAATTATTTACAATGAAATGTTTTATTACTCGAGTGGTTCAAAGAATTCGAACACGTGATAACTATAAATCACGACGATGCTCCACAAATTCAAATAAAATTTGCGGTAAAAAATGCTGAACACTCCATTGTAGAATTCGAATAATCCGAAATCTTTACAATTTCCGAAATCCACCTGGCATAGAATTTAGCTGTTTACTAAGTAAAAAAACTGAAGAGGGCAATTTAGATAAATCACAGAGAAATAATTTATTTGAATTTAGCCACTTGTTCTCCGATAGACAGGGTCTAACTCAAGTTTACGCACACGAAATTAAAATGACAAACGACAAAACTTTCGTCAAAAAGAGCTATCCGGTTACATATTCTTTTCGACCCGGTGTCGATAAAAATCTGGAAGAAATGTTAGTCCAGGGGGTGATAGAAAGAACTAATTCCCCATACTCAAATCTTATAACAGTGCTAAAGAAAAAGGACGACAACGTGAGAATCTGTTTAGACGCTATAACTCTAAATTCGCAGATGGTGGCAGATAACGAATGTCCACCAACCATTAACGAAATTCTGCAACAGTTTCACGGCCAAAACAATTTAACAAACATAGACCTCGTTTCATCATTTTGGCAAATCCCTCTTCAAGACAATAGTAAAAAGTATACAGCTTTTCTTTATGATGGTCGAAGCTATTGTGGAGATTTTACACACAATTATATTGATGATTTGCTAATTGCTTCACCGACTTTCGAGTTACATTTAGAACATATTAGGATGGTTTTAGTGGTTTTAGCAAACTGAAAGCTGAAACACCTGAGATCTTTTTTGGGACTTTGCAATTATTACAAAAGATTTTGTTCTAACTTCAGCAATTTTACTACCGGGTTATATTCTCTACTAGAAAAGGGAGCCACTTGGAACTGAAGAGAAGAGCAAAATTGTCAATTTAACGAAATCAAGGAACAATTTCTTCGGTCTGTCACACTAATCCATCCAAAAATCTTCTCTATTTCGTAAAATCTCAAAAACTGAATACATTACGGAAAACAAACGTTTTGAATTTCAAGTTTCAAGTAATGACGCTAAATAGGTTTAAAATTACAGAAATTCATTATAAAATAGATGAAAAAGCTGGATAGACCAAAACTAGTCGAAAAATGTTTTCTATTTCGAAAAATCTCAAAAACTAGTTATTTTACGGAAAACAAACGTTTAAATTTGAAGTTTTAAGTAATGAGGTTAATAGTAGAAATTTATTATGAAATAGATGAAAAAGCTAGATAGACCAAAACGAGTCCAAAAATATTTTAATTTTCGAAAATTATCAAAAAATAAAAAACAATATGTACCTGAAATATTAACAGAGATATGACAACATACCTGTTATTTTACTGTAAATGACAGTTTACGTTAAATGTGGATGCCTTAGCCAAGTCGCAAACCACCTATCCAAGTTTCAATTCTCAACACTGACAGGTGGCGCCATCTTGCAGCGACTTTTGAACTAACGTTCCCGTACGAACCCGAGAATACCGATCGGTATTCTCGGGTACGAACGTTGCTCATCTACCGAGTAGCGAATGTTTGTATCGGGAAATACATAATTTACTCCCAAGATTTTTGGTGTCGGGGCTACAACAAATTTCGCATATTTTTTATAAGAATATTTCTTTGAACATATTGCAACTATGATAATTAAGAAATATTCGTAGGCAAACAGACATATTTGTTTTACTTCCTATTATTCTTAAAGTGTCGAGGGATTCACCAGATGTTTACCACCAATGATTCACATTATTTAATGAGTATTTCAAGCTAATAAATAGTAAATAAATCGAAAAACAATTAATTCAATTTTTACATATTCCCACGTAATAATTATTCGACAACACCTAGGAGATTTACAGGATTTTTTTGCCAATAATATCACCCTTACAGAATGACACGGCGATAGGGGGTAAATCTCGTATAGGCTCAACTTCAGGTACCAATGTTTTCAAAAGTCCGAAGATGTCCAAGAACGATGTCGTGCGTGGAGCATCCGATGTCATTGACTGTCTACGCTACGCGGTGATGTAACCTGTGAAAAGCACCACGCAAATCGAAGGGTGCTTTGACGAACTATTAATAAGAGCATTGCCATTCTCATCTTTCAATTCGACACGTGTTGAGACGACTATCTTCGTTCTACAGAATGCGATTCGTATGCAATAATGTCTCTTCTATTTAATTCGTTACGTGTTGAGTACGCACATAAGAATCTCTGTCCAGCATTGGGATTCTCATCTTTCAATACGGCACGTGTTGAGACAACTATCTTCGTTCCACAGAATGCGATTCGTATGTAATGTCTTTATCTATTCAATTCGTTACGTTTTGGTAACAAAAAAAAAAATACCAGGGCCATTATCCTATATTTTGAATCCTCTAATAAACAGTTTTTGAGTAAAGGACAAACTTTAACACGCAATGTAATTTACAACTCATTTTTATATGGGAATTTATATCTACTATTGGTGCTATAACAATAATTTACAATGTAAACATTTATAACAGAATAATTATTTGAGAACGGTTCAAAGAATTTGAGCACAATGATTGAAAAAATCTATAGGGAAACAAAAAATGCCATTTTTAGTAATTCTTTAAAAAATTATCAAAAAAAAAAAAAATGGAAAAGGAAAAGTTTATTTGATACGAAATATTTGCGATAACAGCGTTAGGGTTTAGAATAAAGCAATGTTGGTAAATGATAAAAGAAAAGAAACATCGTATAAACATGAATACCACAAAAAAATGTCACCAATCAATAACGAAAAATTGTTTCTTATCCACCTCTTAAAAATTTTTTTAGTTTTCCTCTAGTAAGTCCTAGAAATATTATACTGTACAACTCGAGTGAATACATAATTTAACACGTTAAGTAAGGCAAATGTGCGTCAGCCACTAAATAATTTGCAACATAAAAATAAAAAAAAACATCTTACCTTTAAAAATTGGTCATTTTTTATGCTTTGTTGTCGGAACTCGTACAGTTTGACAACGTTCTCCCCGCATTTGTGACAAATTTTCTGTGAGATGCTATCTTCTTGGCTTATCTGTAATAACAAAATAAGTTTTTTTTTAATTTCTTATATTTACATAAATTGTGAAAAAAAACACTGCTAATTCTTTTAAATTATTGTCTTTTCGAAATTAGAATTAGAAATTAGAATACAAATTGATGATACCAATGATGCATTCTTTTAAGAAAAGGCAATATACAGGGGGTTTCAGAATAAAGTACCCTAAACTTGTAGATGTAGATCTTAATTAATTAATAAGAAAAGCTAAATATAATTTTACTGTAAACGTCTCAGTTTTCATTCTAAAGGGTGATACAGTGAATTTCATAAATACATATTTTTCTAAATATCTCCCCTTACGGTAAAGACTTTAACTTTAAAATTTGTATACGTTAGTTAATCGTCACTATTAGTAACACTCTATTTCGATAAATTACGGTAGCCCATTGGCGTAGAATCAAGGGTAAAGAAAACAATTTTAATTTAAACTTTTTGAACACCCTATATTTCATAGTTACAATTAATAATTACTATTCCTCACGTAATTTGTCACATAAAAGGGACTATTGGTTGATCTCTATAGAACATTCCATTTCCGAGATTTTTAGTTTTAGTCCTACTCAAATAGGAAAATATCTTTATACAATTTTATCAAGGGCCGATTTCACAATAAATATTTAAATGTACATTAACTAAAGGGGCCAAAATCTTATGGACCTAATGATCCGATTAGTTAATTGGCTTTTTAATATTGTCTGTGGCCATTTTACGATAAATCTTGCTTAAATTTGAATATCGGTGTTTTATTTTCTTTATTTAAAAACTTAATCCCAAGAAACAGTTTACATCAGAAATGAGATCAAAAAAAAATCGGGAGAGTGAAAAAAACATTATTTTTTGTTGTGTTGTATCTCGTTTTTAATTGTAAAAGTATCTTATTATTAAACCATGGGTAAAAGAAAATGGTGTATCAAAGAAATATACGAAAAAGCGTCGTTCTACTGTTAGGTCTAGATAAAGTTCTAGTTCCTCTATATCTAGTACTTCTTTTTAAATATTTCTCCTTTTTTATTGACCTGTATTCATGAATACACCTTTAATATTTTCGATGTACGAGTTTTTAATAACAATAAAGTACATTTCAAAATGACAACTTCATTTGACAGTCAGCTTTTACCTTGACTGATGCTCGTAAATACAGGGCCATAAAAAAGAGACATATTTAAAAAGAAATCGGCGATAACTAATAAACAATAAACAGGCTAATCAAAAATGTATAAAGTTATTCTTTTGAATATGGGTATTAGTGATCTTTAATAAATCCAAATAGGTTTTTTTTCTAAAATAATTAGGGAAGCCAATAATTGACCCCATTTAAAATTACATGGGATTTACTGTTCTGCCCGACGATGCAAAACCCGGCATACTTATTTATTTTAACCATTATTTGGAAATTGGGGTAAATATACCTACCTATTTTTAAGATTATGCGTGGTCAGTGCCACTAACAGATTCTTACGATAAGTATTTATCCCAAGTAGGTACCTGCGACCCTAATTAGGCAGCTAAATATTTCATTCCCGATGAACGAGAAAAACCTTGCTCTTTTATCCGACTCCCAATATCTCATCTGACGCCCTACGTCCTTACTTCTCTACCTTCCTGCGTTTGGCGTTCTGCGTCACGACGCTCTCTCTCCATCACACCACTCTAAATTCCGACGCCAACGTCTCAACATCCCTTCTAAATATCCCGACACAAGATAACGCTTCCGTACCGAATACAAAAATATAAAATGTCTGAAATAGAAACAGACGATAATATACACCCAACGGTCTGCACATACGATGGTGAGTTAATAACTTAACCAAATTAAATTTGTAAAATGGGAATTTATTGTTGAATAATAATGAGTATTATTGTGTAACTCATTATTATTCAATAATGGTCAACCTTTACATTTGAGGAATTTGTTGCTCGCCGACATCGCATTTAGCTCGTCCAGATGTGTATGTTATGGGCCATATTGCCTTCAAATTAATATATCACCGTAAAAGATAATAAGAGTCTGGCTACCGAACTGTCAATGAACCCTCGCAAATATCTACTATAACAGCTCAGCTGATTGGGGTAAATGACAAATCGGACGACTAGACTCACATTTATCCGAATATGCTTGATGTTACTACAGGGTTGGACAATCTTAGATAATTATCTCTCAATCTTCGCACCGTAGGTAGATCTGAACATAAGGGGTAGTTCGCTGGTATTGAACTAGCACTATTCTAGTCGGACTACATCCACATAAAACCCCCTAGGTGAGGCTGACACATAAAGGATATCCGTCTGTTATTGCAACGACGGTATCTCAGTAAGCGCACCTATATAAAAAAGAAAACGACGAAACAAAAAATTATTAAAGATAATGCAATTCTGAGGACGTCTGCTGTCTATTCTCAAGAATTGTTTTTATTACAAATATTTGATGGCAAGTGGCCTGTTTGTTTGAGCGGGACACATGTGAGGTCAAGATGAGATACAATTTCTCATTACCTAATATTAAAAGAAATTTGTACATACTGAGTTATTAGAGATCAAAAACGAATTAAGTTAAATATATTTTGAGCATTATTTCATTCACAAATTTGTACCAAACTTAGCTTAATTAACATTATCACAACGTGGGTATATAAATTATCAATTAATTAACTAGACGATCACTACACTACTAGAGAAAAAGGCCAAAATACAGTAAGTATGAATTACTTTGAATTTCACAAGGGGAGGGAGGTAGTTAAATTAAAATACGGGCTTTTAATAATTTGCTACAAGACCGGGGGGGTGGGCGGTTACAATATATATCTACAAATACGCGGTGTTGACAAATCTTTTCAACTAGACCAACTTAATTGAGAACATCGAATAAAAGTATGGTTGCGTCTATTATTTTGCTGAACGACTTTTGCGATATAATGGACAAAATATGGAGTGTAGCTACATCTATGTAGGAAAGGAATAACTAAAATTCAAATTTAAATCATGTTATCAAAAACCGGAAGTGCAATGACATCTTTAAAGGCATTTGACATTGCTAGTGCACAAAAACTAAGTTGATTTTAGTCCTGAACCTATTGCGGGCTATTCAAGGAATTCCCGTGACTCCAAACGTTCTGTCGGACACTTTAAGCCTCAAAATAAACCTATTATTTGTTTTAATTGTAATCAAGAAGATCACAAACAAGCATTTTGTCCTGTAAATAATCAGCTAAAAAGTGTGCAGTGCCATTATTGTCAAAATAAGGGACATACTTAGGGTTGCCAGACGTAACGCTTTAGGCGTTGTATGAATATTGTTTCGGGGAATTACAGAATCTGTAATTCCGATTCTCCGAAAAAATCAATTGACACGCTTTTTGACTTGCTTGTACGCTCAACGCCACAGTACGAAAATGTACCGCTTTTGAGAAAAATGCCACTCTTTTTATGCAAACGTCACTCTTTTTAATATTCAAAGCCGTAAATAAAAAATGAATTTATAGAAACATATAAGGTGAAGACCTTTTTCTTTAGAGACATATCGGCTAAAGGACCCTCGTTTACGAAAAATAAAAGCTGAGGACTTTTTTTTTAGAAATTTCACAAATCATGGACCTAATTATATAAGAATGCTTGGTATTTGAACCTGATGCTCCGTAGTCACAATTGTCACGATTTTCACTTTTTCGTAAATCTGGCAACCCTAGACATACTATTGAACAGTGATATAAAAGAAAAAACTTTTCAGGTTTTCCTCTGTCTTTTCAATCTAATAACAGTGGTAAACAGAAAGAAGCATTTGTTGTATCAAACCAAAATAAGGAGTAATCAATTTTATAAGACTTTGAATTTATTCCGGTTCAGCGAAAAATGTTTCATAGACTTAATAATTATTGTATATTCTTAACAGTTTTTAGCAGTTCGAAATAAAAATATCTATATGTGATATCTTTGAATGAAACCATAGATGAAGTGACATTACCGTTAAAATTATTGGTTGTTGAATATGGTATTCCTATCAAAAATATATTGGTTAGAACTTTTCCAAAATATTTGATAGGAATTACATTTAATACTGATTGCGCAGCTGTACAAAACGCAATAACGAAAACGAAACTGAGTCAAAGAACAGGAAATTGAATACTAGAAATATAAGAGTACAATTTTGAGAACTACTGATTACGAACTTTAAAAAGTATATAGGCGTTAACTCAATTCTGACCAGAGCAGGGTTGTTAACCGTACAGTAATTACCGTACTGGTACGGCAATTTCGGTTATTGTACGGTATACAGTTCAAAGTCATTACCGTACAAAAAAAAGTATGGTATTGTAACCTACCGCACCCAGGTACCTTAATAATTTATTAATTCCATTTATTAAATACAATATTGCATTTTATTAAATATCAAAATGCTTCATTTAACGAAAAATCTCCCAGATAATTAAATCTTATTTACGACACCTAATAAATAATAGCTATAACCACGTCCGTAAAGATCCAAAATTAGTGCACGTGGCTGAGAACCAGCCCAAAGAAAACACAATAAAGCGTATTTCTGTTTACGAAGTAATTATCATTAAAACACTTAACTCGCTTATATTTTTAGTTTCGATTTCTAGACCGATTTCGACAATATTTCAATACACAAAGATTTCAAAACAAGTAATAAATAACCCACCCCCTTTTGCACCTACATTCGTATTTTCTATGAGAACCAAAACGATAGAGACGTCACAGAAACGATTAAACTGTGTATAAAAAGTCTGACGAAAAGGAGCTCAGATTCATTTAATTTTGATCATTTGATGTGCAAGCATACATTTTGTTATTTTACATTCAAACAATCACTTAATTGACTGTACCCAGTTATATAGTCTGTACCTTTCCTAAACGCTCTTCCTAAACGACGTCTATCCCACAATAACCCCTATTTCCCAAAGGTGTCAATGTCTCGACGCCCAACGACTCGACGCCCAACGACTCGACGCCCAACG